GTTCAAACGCTTTGAGCAGATGACCTGTTGTCGTCACCGTCCACACACAATATAGATCACCCAAAGAGCAACCTTGATAGCTCTAATTTTGGGGCGCTAAACATCACTCGATGGACCACGAAATTTACTCACGCGATCGCCGCCTAGTTAGGTTAGAGTTGATTCCAAGCGAGAAACACCGCATTGCACCTTGGTTCGGCTAGAGCCAGACTCCATCACACCCTGTCCAGCTACCGATGAGGCGCTGAATGGCCGTTTGGTATATTGGTGAGGCAGACGTGTACCCCCTCCAATAAAGATGGTGGAGGATGGCGTCTCGGCATTTATCGTATCAAAACGGTGATCATTCGCTACTATTTGCAGCAGGTGCCAGGTAGTCAGTTATTCACTTCACGGTTTTTGAGGCAACAACTCGTGACAGCACAATGAGTGAATTCTTGACAATTTAAGTGTGATAAGTACTATTCGATTGTGTCCAAACGATGTTCTTATGTGACTGAGACTGCTCTCGAGAAACCCATCAGCGGAGTTAACAAAACGGGGTTGTACTAAACCAACCATGGGTGACGTAATAAACTATCCCAGTAATTATGCATTCTTTCTCCATTAGATTGGGCGCCGCGGCAAGACTTATCTCACGTTTGTACACTGAACTGTTAGTCGAAACTGAATTTCCATGCCAGTTGTAGCTAGCAAAACACAACATCTTGTAAGAGTGAGCGCTCAGAACAACAACAGTTGGCGAAAGATGCAATATCGCCCTATTAAGGATCTTCTCACTGCTTACCAGCGGAAAAACGAACAACGCTACGATGCAGTGGGAGAATCGCGTTCGATTACCTCGTCGACGTTATCTCAGCCTTACCCATCTGGCAATTGATACTATCCGGGCTTAGTGGATCGACCGCCGTGCGATTCGAGTGTAGGCGAACCCAGCCTCCTCGCGATACCAGTTTACGTGCATTGCAGCCCAGAGTAACACTGCTTTTACGTTCTGACGTGGACCACATAGTCTTTGTTTCTGAGTGAGCAATGTTAAAGTAGTGAAACTGTGATGGACGTTGGACTGAGGAAGACAGTGATAGGACAGATGATGAGCATGCTTCATGGTGTCCTTCGGAGAGGCGGGGAAGATGGTGATGCATATAGGAGAAGTCATACTATCCGACAGTGCCAAGCACTAGTTGCTGGTAATTCCCGAAGTTTATTGTGTTTTAGTACACATTGTATGTATAACGTCACCCATCGCTTGCGTAAGCGTAAGACGTGGGGGTATCTGTTGATGGAATTTCCGTTTTGCTACCTTATCGAAATCTGCAGAAGGAAATGCCTCGCACGGTACATTAACGCGGTTTTGGTGTGCAACACCCATTGTAGACTAAGTCCCTGTAACACTCTGGGACATGGAAACGCAACTTGCAGCTTTCAGCGCCTGTCACTAATAAAACGCTGTATAGCGGGGAGTGCTGACTTTAATATCAGCAAACGTGCCGGGGATGCAGCATCGCATCTCTGAAGGTAGAGCCACGCGGTACTCGAATACATCATATATGGCGAAGCTCTGCGCTTCTGGCATCTTGGTCACATTGTACAGTCTGCTAGTAATCAGAAGCTAGCTGAAACGACGAGCCATGTATGACAAACGCGTGTCATGAAAGCAGTTTTCAAAAAATCGCCTTTATCAGTTTTGTGAACAGTTTAGCGACCCAATAGACAGCCGCAATGAATGCATGACATACCTCTTCTGGTGGATGGAACGACTACTATGGCAACTCTGACAGCCAAATAAAAGTAGTCATTCCGTGTCAGTTTTTACTTGCCAAGCACGAATATGATGGCCAAGTTGCAATTCAGCTCCAGTCTTTTGAATATGCCATAAAGCGCTGTTCTTCATCTGTCTCGTGTACTGCCATGTCTGAGCGGAGTGGTGTCCAGAACTACAGTGGATTATTTCACCTTGTATCTTTGTTACACTTGCGATATCTTGAGGAAAACGTTTGCCATATTCATCACTAACTCGACCATAGTTGTCAGGGAAGAAATCATGATGGTAATGAAGAAAATGGATCTTTATATGCATGTTTAAGCACGTTCCGGCCACTGCATCGGCCTGTTTTATGCTGGTTTCTCATAGTATTTTAGCCTAATACTCCAGAGGGATTTTGTTGACACTAGGTGCAAAAGCATTCCATAGTTGTTTTGAACCATTTTGCAGCAAGTTGTTGAAACGATCATTTTTTTCAAAAGCTTTGGAATCTGAAGATCCCCAAAAAACCCCAATTTATTCTTTCCTCCGCTCAATCGACAGGATTTTTCTTTAAATACATAAATAAATCTTCCTTTCCCGACCGTGCAAGCAAATGTTCCCGTACATGAACAGAAAGCTTCATAAGTCCTGCCTGTAGGTTTCACGAACTTTTCCATCCAAATGGATTGGATGCGAATAGATGATAGCAGGATTGTGCGAGTATAAAGCAGAGTTGGATGTTAGCGAAATTTTGTCTGCTAGTCCAATCTTTCCCTAAGTTGTACAAATTCCTCGCTCGGCTATCCCGCTGCTGTAGGAGGTGAATTTTTCATCTCCCAACGGTGCTCCTAGTAAAAGATGAGTATCTGCGGATCGCAGCCACTTATGAACGCAAAGCAGCATGTTGAGTTCAGGGGAACGGAACACCACTCCACTGACCGAATGTTCCCTGATGAGATTAAGGAAATCGCCAATGCTTGGCCATAGGAGTAGTGTGCGTAAAGTGCAGCCATCAGCAGTTGCGACAGCTATTTTTGCTATGGTTATTCGAGAGCATTAATCGTCTACCCCGTGAGACTGCGGCACAATCGCTCCAGCACTCAAACGCCAGCATAACGGTTGTACATTGATGCACGCCCGATTTTCCACTAATTAGTGCACTCGGCCCCAGCTTGGCTACATCCACAATGATGCAGAGCTTGGCAACTCCGCGATGACCTTCACCATCCAAGCCACTCGCCTCAATCTCGTCAAGCGGGATTCAACACTGTACGTTGAGACACGACGAAATTTCCACACGACGTCGATACGATAAACTATAGGTGGTAACAGGCAACACAGAGATTAATAGGCCTTATCAAGTAGGAAAGATTTGGCAGGCTTCCTCAGAATAAAAGGCAAAAATGTCTCAATCGCCGTGTGGGTTTGATGATAGAGGTGAACGATTTCGTAAACGACAGCGCCCTCCAAAATACAATAGGATTGACCATTTTTATACTATTAAGTGTGGCATCCATCAGCCCTGGGTAGAATGAGTGACCAAAATAAAAAAGATAACTTCTCCATCTTTCGATTAGGCTTGTCATGTCGTTGGCAGTACATCATTTTTACTTGTCTCATGTGCATCAAGCTAGGAAGTGAATCAATCACTACCTTAGGGTCATATCGCCTTATGGTGTTTAGTAGCACAGCACCCCTCGCCAGGTTTCGTAGTAAGCTGCGGAAGCCGGAAAGCTTTGCCGCTTCTTGTGTTCGACCTTCGAAATGGAATTTCGTTTAAAATGCTAATTCAAACACGCTTTCTCATGTGCCGCTGCACGTGTGTGTGTGTGTGTGTGTGTCAAAACCAAAGTCGAGCGACTTCAGTAGTCTCGTGTGCGGCTACTCGTCATCTTATGTATGCCGCTGCACAATTGTCAACTCTGTGAATTACGCAGCTTGGTGAGCGTTTTGCTGAACCTAACCTATAATCTTCCTGTTAGCAAGAGCATGTACGTGTGGTGGACGCGAGACCGCTGCAAATGTGCCAATGATGTAGGTACACCGAACAGATAGATGACCCCGTGAAAAGACCAATGCCGCCTCACCCCAGGGCGATTTGATTCCAGCCGAAGTTGGTTCGAACAGGAATGGGCTCTTCAAATGCCATTAAAACGTGATTTTTTTCAGTAAACCACAAAGTGATGGTCTCATTTTGGGCAATTGCTTAATCCCGGCTCTCACTTGGCTCCAGGGGACCAGTTCTGCCTTGCACTAGGCCAATTACACCGCAGTGCGCCGATAGGACATAAAGTGGAGCAGCAATATCATGAAACAATGCGTTTACAACAAGGGTAACTTAAGCTAAATATTAACACGTTTCAACAAATCGGCAATACTATCTGAAATGAAAACTATCGCTATCGTCACATCTGCTCATAAGCTAACGCAAACAAATGATGCGTCTGTGATCCACCGATGCACGTTATTCTTCCGAGAAACGTTATTTTCTGTCTGCTGTTTCGCTAATGGCAAACCGTTACTACCTCGTCCCACAAAATGCCTCATGCGTCGATACACGCTTCTACCCATCAAAACAGTAGTAATATTTCTAGGTATTTTCAAAAGTTTTATAAGCCGAATTCGCGATTCTGTGCGGTTTCGGCGTGCGAGGATTTGAGTCCACATTATGTGAAGCATCAACTCCGTTGCTTCACAAACTTCCTGAAGTTTAATTCGGTAGTCTGGCTTAGTTAACAAAGCAAATGATTCTTGATGGTAGTTGATCAATGCTTTGTGATGGCATGACGCCTCAGTTCGAGTGGCCGGGTTTTCACGGCTTCCATTCCAACTTGGCGAACGCTTTCTACTCATGCGCTGTCGAATCAGCTAAGGATGGTGTGGACGAACTGTTGTCTATAGGGATGGCCCGCTCAGTTGATTCAACCAAACCTTTTATTTACTGCACGAAATGTATGTGTTAGGTTGACTGGCCAAGTGTGGAACCGATGCGGTGGCATGCTGAGCTAATTTTGAAGCATACTGTGATGACTACAGAACATACTCAACTTTTTAATGAAGCCCTTTATCAAATGTAGACGTTAATGTTTGCTTTATGGGCTCACCTCGGTACACTCACTGTATTTGGTCCCATTCATGAAAGATTCATGGGGAATCCTAATAGCTGGGATGCATAAATTTTCCGGACGTCGTCTGCATGTATTGCGACTCACTCAGCGTATTAACAGATGTTTTGTCGGTTCACTTCGTTTAGGTTATCGCACAACTATGGAGATGTGTTTTCCCCACCTCAAGACAGTTATATTCAGATACGCGTACACAGGATTACAGCATGCAGTCTCAGATAAATTTGGACTCGGACTCCTGGAGTTTCGGCAGCACTACAGAAGCGCAACAAGACGCACCCCTAAATTTGTGCCTGCGTGACCATACCGAGAATGTCCATTTCCCCAAGGTGCACCTACAAATGAGAGCCGTAGACTTCGCGACCTGTTCCGCAGAACGTGGAATCAATGCAAAAAACACCGAAGCTCAAAGCCAGTTTCAGCTGACTACAACAGCGACGCATGTACTGTGGCCATACACCAACGGTGGAATTGCTGCGTATCCGACAATGCTTTCTGCTGGTCCGACTAAGCTAGAGCATACATCCCCTTCCATGTTGGGGTCCACAGATTCACTGAGCCCCGGGAGCAATGGGATGAATTCCAACGCATTGGATAGGGAACACCCGTTTACGTCAACGCCTTTACATGAACAACGAGTACAGCGAAGACAGCGTCCTCGACCAGTATCTCTAACACCCACATATGGAGAAGTGTCTGAAACTCATAATCGATCGTCTCCTACAAGAATGAGATCTCAGCAAGGCAGGGTGCGACGTCGGCGAGTCGGGTGGAGGGGAGTGGCAATGTGCGGCGCATGCAACCTGGTCTGTTCGAGCATGGATCAGCTAAACTTACACTATCAAATGGCACATTCAGAGTTACTGTTGACAGAATGGCAAATAGCTCAGTCTACCGGCACAAACGCCTCAAAAATGTTGTTTCAAGTAAGTTGTGAGTCAATTTTTGTCCCGACCGCATAAGGTAGTCAGAGAATGATGCAGTCCAACTACAGTGAGTGAGCCACTACATCCGAGTGATTCGTTCACTCTTCACTGGGTGACTGGTGCAGTTGATGGACAGCTCGTGTTTTGTATTGTGGGGTCATTGCAGCAACTTCGAAATCAGCTTGTAGGCCATGACGGTGCACCGCAGTCGCTTTCGACCATGCGTCAAAAGCTCTTCTCTAGTGACGCATGCGGCTACTGGCCGCCGGTTCGGTTCCTGGTGGAGCAATGGGGATACACACCACTGGTGAGTTTTGTATAGACGAAAAATCCGTCTGGTGTTTCTCCAGATTGGTGGTAGGCTATCTGATTAGTAAGTTGCTGCGATGAACTCTCAATACACTTACATTAAAGTCTTCAAATCATGAGTAATTCCTGAATTGCATGCCAACCTTGTACTGTAGATTTGGATCAGTATTCAACCCATTGCACCCCGACAGATCTGTGCTCCCCTTGTCTAAGACAGTACATGTATTGTTACGCTACCACGACGTTTACGTGAGTGGAAGCTTCGTATACATGTAACAGTAAGTTATATCTTTTGGTGAGTTGGGTGTGATTAAATGTGGCGTACGGCGGGGGTGAGCCGTCCATGACAGTGACAGGACGAGCGACAAGATTCCGTTCGCAATCTCGTGGTATTTACTTACCCATTGACAATGTGACCGGTATCGATTGCCGAGCTGGTCCCTCTCAAGAACAGAACCAGTAAAGTTATGAAGCCCAGAGTATTCCAACAGTCTAATGGCATTGATATAATCGCAAAAGCGCTTCACCCTCAGTGGTGTTCCAATCCCATGGATTAATACTTGGACATACGAAGAATACTAGTGTAGGTCTTAGACCGTAGACGCCTGATTTCTGATGGTTTACGATTGTTCCTGCTGAGTCATTTGTCAGAACGAAGTGGTTGCAGACGCTACTTTTCAATGCTTTTGATTGTTATTTCGCATAGCGTCTACCAGCTGCAAAGCATTTTTCACCTGTCATTGCTAACTCGTCAAGTTGCACCCTACTTTACAGGTTAGTGGTGCGCGAAGTTTACTGCGAACATATTGCCCTTTATGTTAATTGCCGTAACAGAAGTAACTTGCTAATGAAGTTCGTGCATACTCAACGCCTCACTATCTTCTGTTCCGAGCAGGCCCAGTTGGAGCAACTGAGATCACAGACAGCCGCCGAGATGTCATCCGGAGAGGCTCACCACACTCCTACGGGTTCTGCTCTCAATACGGACAATCAGAGAGATGTAACAAAGAGGGAGAAGGACGAAGAAGTGACTGATCAGCGGTCGCCCGACCGCGAAGCTGGACCTTCATTCTATAACTCACCACTTTTGGCTTTGTCTAACCCCGACAATCGGGATGATGCAATCACCACATATGTGAGTTCCAGCACATCGAGTGTCCACATCCATGAGTTACACACGCATTCACCATTGATTCGACCGGAACATGCACCGAATTCGGAAGGTGAAATACGAGCTCTCAAGGAATACCCTTGCCCGCGTTGCAGCTATACGGCAAAGTGGCCAACGGAGCTACAGAAACACGTGATGGTACATTCGATCCACCGTCCATTTGTTTGTTCCGTATGTTCAACCAGTTACAAGTGGAGCTGGGACTTGGGTAGACATTTCGCTAACGCTCATCCAGGCCTCTTGAATCCATACAAGAAGCAGCGATTTCACCGTCATCCCACCATCTCCAAGAAGTCAGACGAAAACGCGACAACCCCCTCGGTGTGACGTGAGATTCTCGGGCCCATCGTCCATCGTTTTCATCACTACGAAATGTTCTTTCTCATCCTGAGGATCTCTCGCACGCTTGTTGCCTTTCCCTCCACTCTGGTAGTCACAGCATGAAACCAACTGAATTAGTGAGATGTCTCAATAGAAGTTGTATATGTATTTAATATAGACTTATGCTTGACATTGCATTTTGTCCGGATGCGGAATGTTATTAGTCCCTACACTCTCACGAGTGTCCTGTGGTTCGCATAAAGTGGGTAAGTCAACCTAGTAGTTCGCAAATTTCCACGTCCTGATGCTGTATAACGACAGTTCCGCATTCGTCACCGTCAACGGTTTCCATTACTCGCATGACAGTTCAGTCGTACGGAATTACTGGTAGACCAACGAACATAGTTGTCGCCGTTGCTCTCATGAAATTGCACATTTTCGCGAAGCTATAAGCTGCAAGGATGGCCTATAGGCGGCATTATGTGCAGTGGTGGTCGTGCAGTTGGTCGAAATGAATGTGGTGACATTGTTGGTAATAGATGCGCAAGAATCGGCATTGATGCTTCAAAGCCAACTATTATCATACCACACGACATGAAATGTTAACGAGCACCTGTGCGTAACCGAAGCTTTGTTTACCGAAGCTTATAGTACGGCATTCCACATTATTATTTGCATATGAGCTAATCAGCGTCAAGTGCATACCTCATGATGAGGGATATTGACAAATTTGTCTCATCAGCTATATCTGGAGCTCACCTAAGAGGTTATTGATGGTGGGTGGAAGCTGGGAGGAGAGTCACTGATAGTTTTAATGTCTGGCTTTTACGGCCCATGGCTGAATGAATGCCGGCACATGACGATCACACACGGAGGTGGTGGGTTCGAGCCCGATTTGAGGACTGGGTGACTCTCGCAGTATTGTTAGCTCATGCGCGACTGTTTGTGATTGTGTGGCAGCGAAGCGTCGGTACTGAGTACCGACGTACTGTTTATCTCGCTTTTTCTTTTGCACTCATTTACCTTTATCACTGTAACTAGTACTGCAGTTCATGAGGAGTAGTCCTACAATCTGATAAACCCTCTCGATCCAGCTGATCACATTCCAAGTTGGCTGAATACGTGGTTGTATATGGGGTCGATCACCTGCCTTAAGCAGAATCATACTCTGGATGTGGTGCATCAGCCAGTGTAATCCAGAAACACAGGGGCAAGGGTTGTATTGGCAGTCATTCCATGAACACGCCTGACACAGTTGGAGAAGTGGAGCCGCGTGCACCTGGTTGCAGATACGCTTCCGCGTTATAGATAACATAGCTTCTTCCTTTTGGAATATGTTAGGTTCAATGTAACATAGACAGTAACCGTATAGGGACCTTCACTGCTCGTGCCAATAATCTTAGAGCTGAGAGCTCACCAATGAATGTAACACACACGTGACTTATGCTATTTTCCGACGCCTTATGATCGAGTGTGTCCGATTGGTTAATCAAAATCCACTGATAGCGAGTAGTGCATAATGACTACCAGTATATTAAATATTCGAAGATCCGGGACGATGGCAATTCAAAGTGTTAAGTTTCTTGACTATTTCGAAATAATACGATCATTGAGCCTGCGACGTACTTCTATGCCTGGTTTGAGACTCAGTAAATGCATATTTCAGGAGTCAACCAGATGACTGAAATTCATTCTTGCCATCTATGCCCAGTGCTGTCAGCAAGCAATGGAACTGCGTCTGGATCTCACAGTGTAGTGAACATCCAAGAATAATTTCTAGAAACTCTGGTCATCCCATAGTAAACAAGACCTGCTCTGCCGCATCGAATGGGATGCACAGGGGTTAGAGTGTGTCAGATCAGGTCTTCCCGCTTTTTACACAATCCCACACTTTTCATCCCTATCGTCCCGTTCCGGATTCACTTCGTCCTTCTATCATACCTTCACTTCTTGGATCCCTCAGCTTGTTTTGTGACTGTATTTAAAAGCAAGTAGAAAGGTTTCTTTGCAACTCTATCGAATTATGAAAGATCAACAATATTTAATTGCGCATCGTCAGCGGTAGTCTTTGGTCAGTCAATCATTTATTCTTGTTCGGTTAAGAATTCGTATTGGTGTCATTAATTCCGGGTATACGATGTCTTTTTTGCATTGTGTGTGCACCGTTGCACAAAAGCACAGGTTTCCGAAATAATCCTCGATACGTGTTTTAAAACACCACAGAATCGGTCTCTATTAATCTTTCTGGTTGTGTATTCTATGTTTACGGTTTTTCGTTCTATACAGAGCTGATATAATACTTTATTCATGCGGAGGAGCCTGAGTTTGTAGCGGTGTTCTCGGGTGTTACAGGGTTCCCGCAGGTGAAATATTGACCGTAGTATGGGGAAGTAATTCAAGTACAATATTCGATGGGTCATACAAAGGTCAAGCTTATTCGGCGGTAGAATAGTGTGTAGAGTCCCAGCCTTTCAAAATGTTTTTCATACGGAAGCCTGCGTCGATTCGGTTTCATTCTAGTTGCGATATGCTGTTTTTTCTCCAGGTTTTCAGTTTCCCATTGAGTTATCGGATAGTAAGCTGGGGCCCCGTGTTCAGGGTTTGGTCTAATGAGCGAGGTGAATGGGCGAAGGACGGTTTCTTCGGACCATGTGGAGAAACTGGGTCGTAGTGCCCAGGGCATACGAAGTCCCGCACGGTACAATTTCTGTGTACTTTCTATTGATCACCTATCATGTCGCGAGTGCACTCCAAAGTCTCTAACAGAGGTGTTAGAATGGAGCAACTGGCCGTCCAAGGTGTATGATCTAGTGACTGGACGTCTGGTGATACTGATGAACTCTAACTAGCTTGCGTTAAGAGGGAGTTGCATTTCAGTGGACGACCTTGACAGTCGCTCTAAGTCATGCTGGAGGAGAGCGCAGTCGTCCTGGTTCTCAATGACACACTAGATTTTCAAATCATCCGCAAACAGGGCACCCAGTGATTGGAGCTGCTGCGGAAGAGTGTTGATATGAATAAGAAATCATACTGGCCCAAGTAGAGTTCCTTGAGGCCCGCCACTGGTTGATGGGAACCAGTCCGTCAGGTGGTCATTGACCTGTACTCTAAACTGCGTCCAACAATAAACTCGTGTAACTACTGAAGTAGCATGCCACCGATTCCGTATTTTCTCAGTTTACGAAGGAGTACCTCGTGGTTCACTCTGTCAAACGCCTTACTAAATTCAATGTACACCACGTCAACATTATTCCGTTCATTGAAAGCTCGTACCCACTGGCGGGTTGCATATATTAAGTTGGTGATGCAGGATCGCCCTTTCCTAAAACCGTGTTGTGCTGGCGTCAATACGTCCATCGATTCAAAGAACGACAGTAGACACTTTCACAGGCTCCTCGAGAACTTTGGATAATATCGAAGTCAACAAGATCGGTCTGTAGATCTCTACTTTACTCGGATCACCACTCTTGGAAAGCGGTCTCACCATCAAGCATTTCCAGGCATTGGTGACAGATCCTTCAGAGAGTGATTTATTGAATAGGGTTGTCACGGCTGGTGAGATCTGTTACGGATAGGGACTTGAGTATTAGTGGGTGAAGTCCGTCTGGTCCAGGGGGCTTTGTACCATCGAGGCTGACGAGTAGCTGATACACTTAGACTGCATCACATTGTAGGCTGTCAAGCAAGACTGGAGCAACCTGTACCGGTCCTGAAACAGCCGCCGGTTTGCTGGCAAATGCGGTGAGGAAGTACGTAGCCAAGGCGTGCTCGCGATCCGCGATTGAAACGAGCGATTGTCGGCCGGTGGCCGAGTGGTCTGCACGTTTGCTTTGCAACCATAAGGTCACCGGTTCGAATCCGCGTAGGGGTGGGCGTCCTCGCGGTATACTCAGCCCGCGCGCGACTGGTGGTGGTTGCACGGCAGCGAAGCGCCGTTACGTCGTACAGCTGACACATTATTATTACACATTTAGCAAATATTCTTTTGGGTGCAGCTGTGACCGAGGATGATAGCTTTTCTTCGAACTGCCAGCGTTTCTTGATCTTTGCGGTATTACATATGTTACGCTGTTGCTTGTACACCGTGTAATCTTCATCACAACCTGAGTTGATATATCTATCCCAACGTTTGCGACGCCATCGCGCTAACTCTCTGTATTCTGTATCAAACCAATGCGGTTTGACAGGTCCGACTTTTGAATACTTCAAGGGAACGAACCGGGTACGTAGCGAGTTAATCTTCCTCTTCATTAATGACCGATATACCTCAAGCGACGCATCCTATGGTAGTGTCTAATCAGTCTGACTTGCGGCTTGGATGAGCCCGTTGAAGTCCGTCTTCCAATAGTTGAACGTCGGCTTCCGTTGGTCGTAATACGCTAACAGCAATTCTGTGCTTACAATTTTGAGCTTCGTAATTATTTGTGCAGTAGCTATTGCTAGCGATGCGATACACAGTCGTAAATGCTGCGATCGGATGAACGGTGACGATCTATGTATATTTGAAACCGCTACCATTGACAGCTAAGCCAGAAGTCAGGTGAACAAGCTGGGGCCACGGTACGGTTAAACTCTGCATAAGTGCATGCTGTATGTATATTTCCGGGTTCAGTTGCTTAATGGCAATCGCTTCCGCTGTAGCCAGTAGGCGCATCCTAGCTCAACAAACTACAACTTGAAGCTCTGTCACTGGAGGCAAAATACTGCGCATCACAACCACGTAGGACGCAGTTGTATTTAGAGCTAAAGTTCGAGAGCTTAATGCATCAATTGACCGAAATAAAACCTACGTCCTCCCGAGCCAGTGACACTTTCAGAGCCAGCTACCCGGAAAAGCACCAGAAGGCCGTTTCGCCCTATTGGGGCTCATCAGTGGTGCGCATCCTTCGGTCTTTTGTGGAGGATCGAACCCATGACTGCTAGTGGCTCTTGCCAACTAGCCCGCAGCTTATGCAACTGCGCCATGGAAGACGGTATCCAACCATCACGAATTGTTAGCTAAATGCGATATAGCCCGACCCATCCTCCATTGCCATGCAGGCACTTGCCATGCAGATGACAGCGGTTGGCCTTCCGGCGTCAGTAGTTCCCGGTTACGGCAGCCATGAATCGACATAGCATTTTGTGGAATCCGTAAGGGCGAATTTGTATTACTTATGAGTGGAAGGATTTTGGTGAGTATTTTTGTT